ATGATTCTATGAAAAACACCCAACTCAGTCTTGAGCACAAAGACTGATAGTCTCCCTCAAAATAGATTAACACTGCAAAACCAATTCTGCATTGATCCTGAGATCCCTGTATCATAGACTTCTACGTATTGTGAATTTTGACTACCAAGAATTTTTAAAAAATATTGAACAAATGTTAAAGCCCAAATTTAAAAGCTCTCAAGCATTAGGGCTAATTCATATCCTTAACTGAAAATACTAAACACCAAGTTTGGTGTATCTCAAACACCAAAAGGCTCTGCAAACCTTCTGACAGAATTATGTGTACTTTAAAAGAAAAACTGATTCCAGAACTGGAATGTAAAACTCAAGATCAAGTTAGAGGAAAAATAGTGAAAAATAAAACTGGATAAAAAGCCTCTGTAGAAGCCTACTGAAAGGCTTTAGAAATAAATTAAACCAGACAGGCAGCATTAACTTGGGCTAACCAGTGTAACACATATTCCCTGCTACCACTTGTAAAGTGTATAAGCTTGAACTTGAAGACTCTAATTTTGGGACATATTCATGTTCCCTCTCATAACACTCCCCAGGTAGCACAAAGGTTAGTAGAAGCACACATACAGGAAAATGACAGTATAGTGGCAATGTCCTAAACCTATCATCTTAGTGCCATGTGCCAGCATGGAAGAAGAGGAGAAAAGGGTTAAAGGGTGGATCAAGAAACACCAGTGAAAAAGAAAACCTACAAAAGTGGTATTGAAATACTCCTTCCTCTATAATTTGAGCACAGCTTTTACCACATACTACCAAACTTCGAAGAACATTAGTTTCTGTAAACTCAGATACTGTGTTCAATACAAACCTTTAGCTGTCCCTCTAGCTCTTCAGTTTTCTGTTCTAAAGACAGGCGCTTCTCTTTGTACTCTTTGAGACTGGTTTCCAGCTGAGCACAGAATTCCTGCTTGTCATTCAGCTTAGCTGTAACCTGATCCAGCTGAAGGCTGACCTTATTTAATTCCTGAGGTAAAATAAAAATACGAAGATTGTTAGTCTTTAAATAACTTCCAACAGTTACTAATGTCATAAATGCTTTAAATGACCTAACATGTTCACATTAAAAAGGAAAATAATATTTCTTTTATTCTGAGGTGCAGGAGATTTGAGAGAGGAAACAAAAACACATGCACAAATTCTCTCTGTTAAACTGATGAAATTTCTTTTAAAGCCTCAACATTCCTCTCAAACTTTACAGGTTGTGAGCTAAATCTTAACAAAGGTGTTTTAACTTATAAATGGAAGAGGAATTGTTGGTAATAAACACACTAGATCCTGCAGTTAGTACAACAGTGACTAGAAAGTAACTCTATAAAACCTTAAGACAAAATTTTTGCTGTCTTCATGAAATCAAGCACCATCAAAGAGGAAAGCCAATACCATGGAAACAGGCAGTTCTCCACATACCAGAGATTATTTCAAACCTTTTGGTTCAACACAAAACAACATAATTTCCACAAGAGACCTGAATACATTCACCTAGTAACCACCATGAGGACAGCTACATCAAAGCTTGTTGCTCTCCAATCAAGCCAATTTATTTAATTGTTCATTAATTATTTAACAGTTGCAAAAAGAGGCCTTCTGTTTCTAGCAATTAATTCTATTCCCACCCTAAAAAATGGTGCTGTTAGCATCTGCTGGATGTTTCCATGAAGACCACAGCAGCACTGATTATAACAATGCAAATATTTGATTCAGCAGCCAGTGGAATCCTTTAATAGGATTAACACACATTAAAACACATAATTTTAAGTCTTTTGGGTTTTTGTGTCAGTTAGCACGCAAACAATTATTTCTGAACACAGGCATCCTGAATTTATCTGAATCTGCAATAAGAGGTGTTTTCACTGGTACCCAGTGCATTCTACAATCTCTTCTTTATAACCTACAGATGAGAATTGAATTATACCCTGATAGGACAGCTTAGATTCTGAACCACAACCCCACAGCAAGGGGTGGTTTCCTAAGTAAATTCTTTACACTGCAAAATGCATCTGGTCCAGATTACAGCAAAAAGAATAGAATACATATCACGTAGTTAAAATATCCAACATTATGATTTACAAATGCATATTGACGTTAATTTAGTTTGCAAACAAATTATTCTTAGGTTTTTAAGTAGTTTTTCAGGTAACACAGAAACTTTATGTTCCTATGCTTATAACCTGTTGCTTATCTTGCAGTGCATGCTGGGCAGTGTCCAGATGATTCTGAAGATCCGCTCTTTGAGCAGCTTTCGATGCTTCTGCTGAAAGTAGCAATTCAGTCTTTGCTTTTAGCTGAAAGACAAGTTGTATTTCACTAAAACATCTATTTTACCACAGTTAATTTAATTTTTTTAATATTTATCAGTAAGTTTAATAGTAAAATTGGTAGTTTTCATGTGCTAGTGTAAAAAAAAGATTTTCAAGGTTTAGAAAAATATCAGAATTTTAAATCACAGTTAGTTCTTACTTTGAGCTAAAAAAAACAGACGAACAAAAAAACCAGTACCAGTCCCACTCACCTTCTATTCTAGAAAAAAAATTTTTACTTACTAACAAAGAACAATGGGATAGATTTACTGCAAGACACCCATGCATACCTCGATAACTTCAGATTGCATGCACATTTTTAAAAGCAAAAAGAATAAGAAACAAAAATACGCTTCCACATGCAAACTATCTTTCTCTGCTCCTATTTGCCTGTTAGGGAGCAACCTCCCTTCCCTTCCAAAGGACCCAGCAAACAAATTAGAAGGTGGGTATGAATGTTGTTGGTGTAGAGGCGCATTATTCAGGGTCACCTGCTATTGTGGTTTACTGTTTTTCTACCTAGTAGAAATGCCACTTCTCTGACAACTGTAAGGAAGCTCACGTTGCCTTAAAAAGCATTTGCAACAGTCCATAGATTATTCAGTTCTAATGTCTTGGTAAAAAAACCAGCCCAGATAGTGTAGTGGAGTCCAGTAAAAACATCACAAAGCAACACCAGAAGAAGTTCCTAGAGCTGTTTGGAAACTGAGTGATGCTAATTCAAAAGATACCACAGTGTATTAATCCAACAACAGTACTCGCTGTTCCAAGTGTACCAATGCAAGAACTTCTGATCAAATGTTATTTATTTTTTGGGATAGCTGAATATAATTAACAGTTTTTAGCTGAAGCAGCACTTATTAGTAGGAGAGTCCACGTTGAGTCCACACTGGGGAATTTCCTTGTTTAGTAAATTAACAACAAGGTGGCCCACAGCTTTTTTGTTTTGTTTTTGACTGAAGACACCAGCATAGGAAATTTCTAGGTAACAACAACATCTTAGTGACATGACAGAATTTCACTTTGGTGCACAGAATCCAGGACTGATAAGACCGTGGTTTTGTACAGCTAACCATTACAAATACAATAAGAGATGCTTGAGGAAAGATTTTCCCAACTCAATTACGAACCTTGGGTTTTTTTTTAATTACAAACAAAAACAAACAAAAAAGCAATATAGAAAAAAAAAACCAACCAACACAAAAACCAACACTTGCCTTCTATTGCTATTCTGAATCCACTTACATTTTCCTCAGTTTTATCTGCCTTATTCTACTTCATTCATCTGTTAGTAAACATGCAGTTTTTCCCATATTGCTTTGAATGTTCTCTGGAGAGAACACAGAAATCACAAGCAGGATTTATCATCACCAGATAGTATAGAGTTCCATTACCTGTACATCAAGTTGTGAAACTTTCTCTTTACTTTCATTTAGCTGGCTGGTTAGTTCAGTGATATTTGCTTCCAGAGAGAGCACACGGTCTTGAGCAGCTCTTAGATGTGCCTTTTGCTCCTGCACTTGCTCATGCAAATTCTCTTGGGCTTGTTTATGACTTTCTGATTGATTCTTCAGTTTCTCTGTCAGCTGAGTTACCTGCAGTGAAAAAATATGAGGTAAGCAGAAGAGAAGGCTGGAACAGCATCCAAGGAGATCTTTTGAATTTTAGTGTGTCTTATCATGGCTTTGGAGACTCAACACTGCGATGTTTCTTTTTCCAAACTACTGCAGTAAAGCTATACTGTACACAATACCAGACTTTAAAAAGGCTACCAGCTGAAAACAGAAGCAAAAGGGAATCATCAATTTGGCCTTACTGTAACAAAAACAAAATACTAAGGAGACAACACATGCAGGCTAAACTGAATTTTGGTGTTGAAAGCAGGAATTAAACCTCTTTTTAAAAAGAGAAACAAATACGTATATGTATCTAAAAATTATTTGTAAGCGCATATTACCAGCATATGTACACAGGAAACATCTAGGAATTCCTTACTCTGTGATGATGACAAGGAAGTCATCGAAACACAAGTCCTGGGAAATTTACAGTAAGACCCTTAAAGTAAGTATCAAAGAAACAGCAAAGTACAGGAAAAATCATTGTCATATCTGATGACAGAGAAAGAAGGACACAAGATTCAATAATCAGAATGAGAGAAAAGAAACAAGTCTCTGAGTTCTTACCTGTATTTGCAATGCATGGTTTTTCTCTTGTAGCTGATTAAGAACTGCAGTTTCTCCTTCACCAGCTTGAATTTTTGCATATAAGTCCTCTCTTTCCTTTTCTAGCAGAGAGATGTTTTCCTTGCTCTTCTGAAGTAAAGCCTCAAGATTTTGAATTTTTTGGTCCTTATCTCCAATTTGTCGTAATACTTGCTCCAAATCATTCTAGAAAATTGCATAATACCTTCCTTAATTATAGGGAACTTAGAAGTTATTCCTAATGCATAAAATGTTGGACAAATTTATTAACCATTTCCTGTACATTCTGTTCTAGATTTACAAGTGAATTTAGTGAACCTAGTATAAGTCATGCAAGTCACTTGCACAGAGAAAATACACTGAAAATAATGAAATCCTGCAATACACTTATACATAAGGATACATAAATATGTTACCTGGGCTTCTCGTAGTTTCGCTGTAGTATTTTGCTGAAGCGTCTGTTGTTCCTGGTGCTGCTGTTTTGCTTTATCTAATTGATGTTGCAATTCAGTGGAATTTGCTGCTTTTTCCTTTAGCTGAAAGAAATCAAAAAACAATCAAAGCAAACAGAAAAACAAACATAAAAACCCAGACTAATGAGTGAAAAAGCACATTCAGTATGCCAGTGGTGCTCAATATTCATTCTAATGCTAAAAGATTTTACTCTAAACATGACTATTTGAAAACCAAGATAAAAATAAAAGTGTGCTAGTTAAAGAATCAGAATCTAACCAAAGCACTCATTACTATTAATAGGTGAGATTCTATATCACAAGTGAGAACTATAAAACAACTATCAGATACATGTATTTTAGCTCTCAAAAATCTAAAACATAAGAGATTTTTAGTATGTTTTTTCCAACTGCTGTTAAGAGGTAACATGACTGATATTACAAATACCTGTAAAACAATTACTATTATTAGAAGTTTTAGTAGCAATTTCAGTTTAACAGTCTCTCCACTTCTATACTGGTCAAGGCTCTGCAAATTAGCTACAGAAAAGCTTTAAAGCTTTAACAACGTACCACTCAGATACTTGGTCAGTCCTCACAGAGGTAGCAGAAAATCAGCAACATATACAAGGTGCTCATTAAAATAAATACAAATAAATAAAACAAGTGATTTCTACCCATCCACCCCACACAGGTTATTAACTATCAATGACCTGCTATGCCATGCTCATTTTTTCTTGATGTAGGGCTTTATATCACAAAAATATCTACACACAACACTTCACCCATATGGGCACATGGTGCACCTACGTCTTTTTTTCATGAGATTCTTAGGCAAAACTCCTAAGTGCAAAAGCACATCTTTTGTTCATCTGTAAAGCAGCATGAACATCCGTGCATTCAAATGAGCATTTAGCCCTACAAAATCTGTAATGCAAGTGACACTTAGGCAGATTTTGACAATTTTACTGTAAGACTTTAATAGTATTAGTCAAATTAAATTCCCATGAGGACAAACTTTATAGCAACATCACAACAAGTGTATACAGGCTACTATCAGAACCAGAGCAAACTAGAGACTGCATAAAAGCCCATACCTGCTCTTCGACACGAGAAAGTTTTAATTGCAGATCTGCCACCTGCTGCTCTTTGTCCATCAGCTTCTCACTAGAGAGCTGCCTCTGTTCCTTGAGCCGCCCGTGGGCTTCCCCTAACTGGCGCTCTGTTTCTAGAAGTTTACTGTGCAACTGAAAAAGAAAAAAAAAAAAAAGTCATCCATTTTTTTAGTCATTCTTCAGTCAACAGCTCTGATGCTCAGAATCATAGAATCATAGAATGGTTAGGATTGGAAGGGACCTTAAAGATCATCTAGTTCCAACACCCCTGCCATCAGCAGGGACATCTTCCACTAGATCAGGTTGCTCAAAGCCTCATCCAGCCTGGCCTTAAACACTTCCAGGGAGGGGGCATCCACAACTTCCTTGGGCAACCTGTTCCAGTGTCTGACCACCTTCACAGTGAAGAACTTCTTCCTAATATCTAATCTAAACCTGCCCTCTTTCAGCTTAAACCCACTTCCCCTTGTTTTGTCATTAATTGCCCTTATGAAAAGTCAAGTAGGGTGACGTGCTCTTCCAGCTGGACATAAGCCTGCTTCATAATTTTTTTCAATCGTCAAAAGCAGTACTGTACCACTTTCCAAGTGCAAGGATGGCCTTTTACAATTCATGTTATAAAAAGCTCTCTCCATAAAATTAGCTTTTCTTCTATTTGAAACTGTCATCATAGGCACTGGGTTACCTCCTGCCTACTTCTACATGAATGCTTTTCATGGATACACAAACAAACTTTCAACTCAATGCAAAAACAGAGAATGGATCAGGCCTTGCAGCACAGCAAGAACTTTCTGCAGGTACCAGGACGAATGAAGCTTGCTTTCCCTATGAATTTATGTCCAAGACCCTTGAACCATTCACCTTTTAACTCCACGTCCTCCCTTCAATATCCCTAAATGCTTCTCACAGTTTCCTCAAATCCTACTAATACCTAGGCAAAAGGCAGCACAATCTTGTTGCTCACTGCACGACACCGCTTGACCAGCTGGCTGTCTAGCGAGACAGCAAAAGGAACAGTGGTTTTGATAACATTAAATCTTTCCCCCAGGCATCGAGGGAGCGAGGCATGAACATAAGTCTCTCTCCTTTACCCAGCTGCCTATTTCAACAATAATTTAACACTGAAGAACCTAACACTGGAGACCTTTGGGTCATCTGTCAAAATCCAGCTGAAGTTATCAAAAAATGCAAAAGTCACAGGGGATGGAGCCAGGCAAACAAATGTGCCTATGCCTTATTTTCTTAGGAAACCAAACTGAATTATTTGTTTATATGTCCACAACCACAAAAACTGTGAATGAAGAGCTGTTTGGCATGCAGCCAAGATGCTGATTACTAACTGTGACTGGACAGTTAAGAAAGAGGTAGGAAAAGAGGGAAGACAGGGTAAGGAATGAGACCATAATCTCTCCTCCAGTAATCAAGAACATTTGTCTTTTTCTGCAGGAATCACTAAATTATTAATACTTCCTCGTCACTATAAATATGAACAAGAGCCAGAGGAAAAAAATTAAAGAAGAAAGGGTGAAACAAGATAACTATTACAACTATTCACAGCTATGTAATTACTGCGAGAGAATTACTTGGAAAGGAGAAAATCAGCAAACAACATTTCACAAAAGTCATTTTTATTATAGGCGCGGTTAAGTATTTCTGAAGGACTTTAAGACTGACTTTAAGTAAACAGAACCATAAAATCCAGGACTAACCTATGTTACAGAATACAAAAATCATAAAAAAATATTCAGACTTTCAAGGACACATCAAGTAGATTCAAATTGTTTCAACAACAGTTTTTATTAGCAATTAACATTTCTTTAAGACTGAAGTAGTCCATATTTTCTTGTGTCACTCTCTCTACTGCTGTGCTGGAACCAGCACTATCATTGAAACTCCCTTCCGTTGTGAAGATAACTTCCTTCACGTCACCAAAATTCAAAAACATACAAACTTCACCAGCCATGGATCTGTTCAAAATAATTTTGAGAAGATGGCAAAGATTCTTTGAAAATGGGGTTTGACTAAACAACTATACATATACCTTCATAAGCAGCATTCATTGTGTCAACCTAAGCTATCGGACTACATGCATAAAAAGATAATTCCATTAAAGTATTAAGTGAACAAATAATGGTTTAATTTTATTTTATACTGTGTATGAAAGGCTTTTTTGCCTCCACAATTCTTTTACAATACAGTTCTAAAATATAACCTGAGATCCAGCAGCTTGTTCAGGTTTTCTTGCTTAGACTGTCTTCCTTGCCAATGGTATCACCAGAGAATGTGTGATGTCTCCATTGTCTTTCATAGGAATGAATTCAGCAATGCTTTATTCACTTTCCTCCTCCTTCATTTTCCTCTCCAAAAATCCCTCCTGAAAATGCCCTCTCAAGCTGAAGCCAGATTTCAGCTCAGCCTTTTGGCTGTGCTTCTGAAGCTTGCATACATGCTGCCTAGGCAGACTGAGGCAGTTTTACCAAGTGAGGATTCCTGAGCAGATAACTATTATCTTTCTTCCCCGTGACAGAAGACTGATGGGAGAAGGAAAGTCATTCTGGGCATGTAATATAGAAATGAAGTTTTGCCAAGCCACAGTTCTTCCAAGATAAACGATACACACAGACTTTGAAACTTAAATCTATTTCAGACTTGACAAAGGGTTGAAATTGAGAAACATTCATTTTAAAATGAATCTTTAGCGAGAGATTAAGTATGTCATACTAACAAAAAGGCAGATTAGTTTCTCCATTTTAGGACTGGACATGATTCCTGATGCACAAATATTTCTCCAGTCTAACACATTACTCTCCAAGACACTAGATAAAACAGAGTTCAACCAGCCTCAAATGTCAGTACGCTCAATGTTATATGAAAGTCTTGCTTCCATAACGCATTTGACTCAGCAAAACAGTATTTAAACAGTAGGGGGAACATAAGTTCTGGGTGTTCAGCAACATAAGGAGAAGGTGTTTGTGGAGAGACAAAAAGGAAGCAATATTAAGACTTCACATCATCCCTGCTTTTCACACCACGTATTCCCTACTGTATTCACAACTCAATTTTAAAGCAAAGCAAGCACTGTTCAGTTCTAACATAAAATGAAGATTTACTTTTCTGAAATGTCCTGTAGAACAATAAAATTACTACTAAGAAATGAAACTACTTCTGATACTCTACCTGAATTTGTTTTTCTCATAACGTGAATTCATTACAGCTTCAGCTACCTTACTGAATAAATAACCTTGCTAACTTCTTAGGATTTGTCTCTTACCATATTTGTCATGGAAACTCAATATTCTGGGTTGCCCTCTCATTTGACAATATTTCCCTTATTTCAGGGAACATATCAACAAAAAAAGAGGAGTGGAAAAATTGTGGGATGAAAGAAGAGTTCATTTAATACTGTAAGAGAAAAAGAGTGGATGAAAAATCTGTTTCAGACCAGCTAAAGCATTTTTTATTCATGTACAAAAAAACCTCAAGTCAGAACATGAGAAATAAGCTAAAAAGTTTATGCTCGTTCAACCTTAATCTTCAAAACTAAAAGTATAAAGATAGCTTTACAAAAGAGTTCCACATAGAATAGAATTAGTAAGACGTTTTCCTTTCAGAAAGGAAAACTGACAAGAGTTTAGACCTACTAAAAAGGTTCAGACGTAATGACATACAAACACCAAAGAGTTTCTGTGCTCATATCACAGCTTCTTCTTTTTGCCTGTTCTTTTCTGTACTTCTGAAAACAGAAGAGGTGAATTTATTTCATTCTCTGTGGTGTTAGGAAGAATGCTTTATATTCATTCAAATACCAGTTAGCTTTGTATTTATTCAAACAGAAGTACTGGTTAGTTAATCCCCTTCAATAAAAAAAGCAAATGCATGTGCATACAAAATATGTATGCCCAGTTTAAAAAACCCTAATGCGATGGTTTAAGGAACCATCCCAATAGGATGACCTGTGAGGTTTAAGGAACCTTACCTGACTGAGCTCGCTTTGGAGTTGCAGGCCATGCTGCTCTTTTTCTTCCCTCTGCTGCTGGAGCTGTTTACATTCTGCCTTGAGATGCTGGTACTTTGTCTCTACTTCAGACAACTCTTCTTTAAGTTTCTGGCTTGCTTCCCCCTTCTCACCTAGCTCTGTCTGTAATCTCTGTATTGAGGCTTCAGATGCAGACAGCTTTGCCTGAAGCTGTTGGCAGTCCAGGTCTTTCTGGTGAAAGCTTGCCTGCACGTTCTTCTTACTCACAGACACTTCATTGTGTTTTTCCTCTAGCTGGGTGTAGTCCTGTTCTTTCTTCAGCAGCTTCTCAGTCAGGCTCTATGAAGAGAGTTACACAGCAATTCAAGTGCAATTCTGCTTACAGCTGTTCAATGTATTATTCAAATTTCTTCTCAAGTGTTGATGCTGAACAGTGAAGAACTTGCTCAAAAACATTATTAAAGGAAATATTGACCTCTACTTTGTATTACACAAGTTAATTCTGGAGCCCATCAGTACACAGTTTCAACTGGAAATAGTTTTTCATATTCTCACATAAATCCACTTCCTCTTACTGAGAACACCACACAAACCTTATTTCTGTACCCTGAAGACTAATCTGCTTTCCCTCAACATCCAAATTCTAAGTTATTACAACTGCATTTGCTTGGGGAATAGCTGAAATAGTAATTTGAGTTATTAGTACACAGAAAAAGTTTTCAAGTACTACTGTCCTTCACACAATTCCCTAAGCAAGAACATTTGTGGTTTAATTCCTGTCTAATCCTGTGTAGTCATCATGCTGGTCCTTTTCAGAAGTACCCTAATTTTGCCCCATCACTATACTTACAGTATGATCTGCTCTACAAATTATGGAAGAGAACCTGTGATGTTGATAAATCACAGAATTAAACACTCATGATTTAACCTGCATTTTAGAAGATGTTTTTACCTTGTAATTCATACCATCTAATTTCCTTGCATATAAATCAGCTCAAAGAGGATAGTTGCTTTGAGTTTGAAAACACTAAAAATTGGGATTCCCTAAAGGAAAGACATGAACATTGCTGAGTGTCAGATTTTTCTTACCACATTAACAGTAAATATTGCCAGATCTAAGGTCACACAATCAAATTTAAATGCTGAGACAAATACTGGAAAAAAATAATTTACAGATAATTTGCAGCTATTACATAATGCTTTTTATCAAATTTCATAAACTAATCAAAACTATATTCAGATAGAAATTAAATACCTTAATGGACATGATATAATTCCAGAAAGTTTAGGTTTTTCCCCAAGCTTAGCTGAGGCACCAACTAGAATTTCAGAGATCTCCAAGCAGGACAAAGAAGCCATGAGAACCATTTCAATTTTCCAGTGACACTTTTTGAAGCACAGAAATACAGTTGCAGGGAGGCCCTGGTCATCATCCAACCCAAGTAATTTATTTCATCTTCTTGAAATGTCCCAGCAGGTTCCATTTATTGCAGCACCTTACTGGTATCTATCTCAGTGGAGCATTACTATGCGCACCTTCTAAATGCTCGCATTCGTCCTGCAGCTTCAGTGACTACTGTATTCTCTGGTGACTCTTTCAATTAAAATACAGAAAAAAAAAGAACACGTCTAGCATGTCAGCCTGAAAAAATGTCAGCTCTGAGATGCATCTTAGGTATCAAAACTTCAGACAGTTCTGCAACTTTGGAATAACACTGTTACAAAGGTAGCTTAGTCAGTGCTGCAATTCTAGCTACGCTGGGCATCTTAAAAGCACACTTCTGTGCAGTAGCCAGGGATGAAACCTATTTTTCCAGAAGAAAAAGCTGTAAAATTATTCAAGTAAGTTGAACAGTTGAACAGTTTTGGTCTTCACAGATTTTAACAAATTATTACTGTATTGGTTGTTATAATCCATATACAGCCACTTCTATTTTACAGTTGTGATAAACAGAAGAATCGATATACATAATTTTAAAAAGAGTCTAAAAAACAAGGAATCTTGTAAATGACAATACTAGCAGTCCAGCAACATAAGTAAGAATGAACATAATTAATGTCCTATGTGTCCCTTTAAAAATAATATACTTTCTAAAGCATAAAATTTTGCCAAAATTCTTGCTCAGGACTAAAGTTTGGCTATTGAATTCTAGCCCTGAAGTAGGATATTTTGAAATCTTTCTTGAAAAACAAAACAACTTGTTGGTGTTACAGGTATGCAGAAGTTTTTACATATGCATATATAAAATGCAGGAACAGAGTACATAAAGAACATACTGAGGTCAAGTATCATCTTTATCCTTCTGAAGCCAGTGACAAGGCTGCCACTGCTTTTAGAAAAAGTTTTGCCCTCAGAATGTAAAACAAAATTGCAATTCCCTCTTCATTAAAGAGAAAAGGCCAGGCAAGATCATTAATATTCGTACTGAATCGTGTTCCTGAAATAGCAACACATTACAGCACCTTTTTCATCACAGCTGGGCAAGTTAGAGCTAAGGTATTAATATTACTACTATTTCATAACTAGATCCACACATCACATGTAGAACTGCTATGACCTACTTTGTGAAGAGTCAGTGCAGAGCACTAACTTAAACTTTCAAGTAAAGTTGGGAGGGGGAGAAGGAAAAACAACAGAGAAACAGTCGATGTCTCGGAGCAGACTAAGACTCTGGGAAGCTTTCGGGAATGCTATATAACACAAAAAAAGCAGCAGTGCCTCTTCATCATCACCTTACACTCTATCCAAAGGACAGCTAAGAGCAGCAAAGTCTCTTCGCCACCACCTTACATGCTATCCAAAGGACAGCCAAGAGCAGCAGCTACACACAGCTGGAGATTTCTGATCCACATCCTGCACTACTCTTCTCTCTTCCTCCCTGTCTGATGAGAAATACAGCAATGAATACCAGTGTTGAAAGACACTGCCCCTGACAGCTGAACACCTTCTGCAGTCATGAATGGTGGTACAGAGTTGTCAACAGCTACTGCTGCTTTCACAAGAGAAGAGCTGGGTTTGCCTGACAGCCTGCTACCTCCGTGTGTGATTGAAGCCCACAAGCAGACTCGAGGCCACAGAGCTGCCAAGCTAAGGCCACTGAGGTTATATCAGTGCACCCAGTAGTGTATCCTACCTGGATGCATGTCCCAGCTGCATCCCAGATATATAAAAGGGATACGTGGGCACACACGGGCCACCTCTCTTCCCCAAACCTTGATTTCCACAGAAAAGAAAAGAGGGAATGACAGTATGTTACAGCACTCAAGGAAGAGCCCTGAGCCTTCAAAGCTCACAAAATACGAGGAACGCCACACTGATCCCTTCTTTTATAACTGCTCCTTGGAAAAATACACGTAATACATGTTAGTAGTGATAGTGGCCAGGCATTAAAGAACAAACTCTGTGGTCACCAATCGAATTTCAGAATAGTTACTTCAGTAGAAGGTTGGAAACTAAGCATTTTTCCCTGTAGATAATGCATCACAATTTTCCTAAAAGAAAACAAAAAAACCCACATGCAATGCGTTTAGAATTACAGCAAATCATACTTCAGGGAATATGCTGGTTTTTCACACATTAGGTCTCTTCTGGGCTACAGGCCATTACTGGCCTCTGCAAGGCAAGCCAAGCTCCGTAATTACAGTGCTTTATAAATGAAGGAAAGGCAATTCCTGCTAGTCTTGGGAAACTGATCTTATCTCGTTATCTGCTCTTTTCAGTAGAGCTCCTGAAAATACAATAAACAGCTTGCTTGAGTTGTACCTGATCTTGAAAAACTCTCTATCATTGCACAGAAGTATCTTCCCACACTGCAATGGAATTATAAATGGATACATGTATCAAAATTCAATATATTCTCTCTTGCATTAATTGCTCTTCCCTCCTCCTCAACAGCTCCTTCAAGACTGGCAAACTGTTTGAAGAGGAAATGTGATAGTTTCACTGGGCTAGTCCTTGGCTAGCAGCCAACACAGCCGTTCACCCACTTCCCCCCCACCCCCAGGGGATAGGACTGGGGGGGCAAGGATAATTTCTGTTATTTGGGAAGCTAGTCTTTACCTTTTCCAATTCTAGGTCCAAGTTCTCCAGGGACAAGATTCCTTGGCTAGCATACCATTTTTAGGGGTATCACCTTTCAAAAAGCTGCATGAAGAGGTGGATATAAACTGCTTTAAGTCTCTGAAACTAAAAGAGGCAAAGCAGCTCCTTGCCACTTCTCTTCGTCCTATTCCTCACGTGGTGTTCTCTGACACAGCAGAGGACTCTCTCATAAAGTATGGTTATCTTATGCATCAATCTGTTGCACTCCACATTGTTAATGGAATAGTGATATATTCAGGCAAAGGCTCTATACTGTATAGCAATAATTTTGCCAAAAGCTTATTTCAGTGTTGCCGGCCTGTGGAAACCAGCAACATGACAATTCTCATCACCTCAGTTCTGCCCCTGATTTAATAAGCTAAACCAAGAATCATCCTACTAAAGGTAAGTTTAATTAACCTAATTTTAATGGCACCTTCTTATATTCTTTGCAAATGCTGTTTTAATATTAGATTACACTAATTTGGTCCCTGTTCTTTCCTGTTTTCCAAGACTAACAAGGTTTCTGGTAAATAAACATACGTAATGTGTACAGTTCATATACAGTGTTATATATACATACAACAAAAAGCAGCATACATCTTTCTCCTTGTCTCTTTTCCTCCCCTACCTTCATTTCTTACCCCATAACACATGCTTTCTTAATGCAAATACAAAATGCAGCAAACTCAAAGTGTTTTGATAAAAGGTCCCAAGAAATACTTATAAGCTGAGAAGCTTATAAGCTGGAGTTTATTTAAATTTTTTACCATTCATGACTCTGATAAACAGACAGAAAATACGACAGGAGTAAAATCCAAAAGCTAAGAAACTGGAAAACCAATGAAGAGAGTTCAAAATGTCTTCTGAATTATGATTTTTAGGCAAACATTGTAGTATTTCAATGGGTATTGCTTTTTCTTTTAATCTGTGAGGTGGCAATATTGCTTAATAATAGGTAAGCATAAACTGCAGCAACTAGAAATCCACAATATCAACGACCCTCAGGATTTCAGCAGTAACATACTGACCATTAAAATATAGTGTTTGCTTGTACATTACGATATCCTTTTTGTTAAGCAAAACAGTAAAGGAATTCTCAATTTCTGCAACACCAAGAGGTGTTTTGCTACAGACTTCAGTGCTTTCCAAGGCAAGGAGTGATGTGTTTCCATTTTAATGTGAACTGACAGGCATAGGAAATAACAGCATTCTCACCTGGTTTTTCTGTTCTAGGTCTTTGACTGAACTTTGAAGTTTTTGCAGCTCCTGAACATACACAGCTACCTCCTGAGGTCCTTTAGCAAGCTGAGCTCTTAACTGGTTAATGGTAGCCTGAACAAAAAGAAAAATCCACATTTAAAACAAAGCTTTTCATGTATAACCTAAACAAAAAGAAGATATTTGGTAGCAAAATAAAAAGCATCTTGTATACAAATAAACAGCTTAAGAAAAAAATCACCTGCAAACTCATCTCAGAGCACCATCAGCTACAGAAGTATCACTGAGCATAATTTCTCAGCTGAGATTCATTCACGTCCTACTTCAGAAGACATAAATTTGCCCCAGTCCAATAGAAAATGTTAGGTTGAGCCCACAACTGATGAAGATAACAGATTATCCATTAATCACTATCACAGTTCTATCTCAAGGTGAAACCCTCCCAGATCATTGCAGTTAGATGGCCAAAAGATTTGCCTCCCTGGTAAGGGAAACATACTGGAAATGATGCTAGAAGCAAGTCTGTCATCTGACACAAACTTAGTGTGTGACTTCTGGACACATCAACCCTGCAGGTCAGCATAATCAGGGTAACAATAGTACCCCATTAAACAGGATTAGTACAAACCAGAATGTTTCAGTGACTGCACGTTATTTGAATACAGTAATGGAAGCAAACAAGAAAAGCACTTTAGACAGGTAATGATGGCTGCCTTAAAGCATGCTGTGTATGAACACACTCACTTTGAATACACTATATAATAGTGACCTTTTTAAAGAAATCTTCTTTCCTATTGTTCTCATAACCACAGATTTCAGCACAAAGGTATAAATATTGGATTCAAGAATGAAATAAAGCAGTAGAACAGAAGTAGCAGACAATAAACATACTATTTACCACCTTCCTACCGAAAAAGGAAGACCAAAAGGAACACATTAACACATTATATGACTACGTATAATCATTAATTCTGACTTTCTGTAATGCTGTGCTTTACAAGGCTGTTTCATTAAAGAGCTTTTAGCTAAAACACATCCGGGGATCTGTCTTTGGCAGAAAAAGAATACATAATGTTCTCAGAAAACAGAGTACGGATATTTTACCTCTGAGAAAATATAATGTAGAAAACATGCAGAATCTTGCTAAGGACACCACCACAGCCTCTCAACCAGAACTGTAATTTATATGCATAAAGATACACTTCTCTCATTCACAATTCAATAAGCCAGTCCCACATTTCATTCTTAACATGGAAATATATCATGGATGAATATTCATTTGTGATATTGACTGGCTGATGTGTCTGTATGACTAATGAACCAATAAGCAAACAAGAATGCATCTGTTTAACAACCTCTTGAAATTATCTTGATACAACAGAAGTCTACTATAAGAATAAAAAGCTTTCAAAAAAATTTACCTCAAATTTAAGTGTCTCCATTAGAAAGCAGAAAAATAAAATGGATGGATGAAAGACAGAAATAAGCAGTCACAAAAGCTGTTAGCAGACACAATTCTTCAAATTTGTTTTCAAATATTACAGTGTTTTTAATGACTTTGCTTAATGGGGGAAAAAAACCAGGCCCGGCTTTATTAAATTTACCCATAATTTAACCTACTAATCTTATTCTGTGGGCACTCAACAATCAAATCTAGGCACTGTATTTTATGAAGATTTATCAGATATTGAAACAAATCCCAATCTGCAGAGATTCATAGAGATGCTTAGCTTCACAGCAGTGCAGCTGTTTTCGTAAGGTGTTTACTATGCAGCAGCCACTACAGTGAGAAACTAAACATGGAAGGAGTATCTCAGAATGAACACTCATCTGAAATATCTAGACACCAGAGATTCAGATGCAAGTAAGGCACAAACACCCAACAAAAAAAAAAGGACAACAATGAATACATTTAAGTGACAATTGCAGAGCTACACTTTTCTTCACATCCTCCTCCTGCAGCATTTGAAGACACTCATAAAGGGTTAATATTATCTTTGTTATTCTCATCACTCATATCATAAATCTAACATTTTAAAGACATCTCACTTTAGAAACCAATATTAATATATGCATCCTCATCCAGCTTAGCAAAATAGCCAAGGAAGGCATAAGAACCACTTTACTCTTTCAGCCCTTGAAGTTGTCTTAAAGAGCAAATCTGAGAAGAAACATGGCCAAAATTTTATGGTCAAGACTGTAGCCATTCTGTCAATGAAGGACTTCCATTTCTTGTTTTCTTATGGCTAACACTTTTCACAACTGTGTTTTTTTAAGAAAAGTAGAAAAGTTTTCACCACAATGACTTTGAGTAATTTTTTTAAAGAGTCTGATCCGTCACTTGACATCAACAGAAAAGCTTTTATTTCAAACATGTCTTGGGGTATTGTTGCCACAGCTGGAATTCAGCAGACAAGGCAGTAACATTTCTGAGAAGAACCAGACTGCCACAGCTTACCATGTTCTGCCATGCAGCAACCTGGTCTTCTCTGGTTCAGACCACATACTGATGATACTACACAGACATCTGATATTATTATAATTGCTGTAATGTAGTTTAGAATATTTCCATATGTCTAAGACTTCTTATATGAACACATAGTAACAGTTAGGGGTATCATGCAGCCTTTTCTCCCACCTGCCATTATCTCCAGGAGGACTGAAAAAAACTTCACTTGTCTTCCTTCCTGTTAAAGGCTGCACTTTAAAGCTACATTTTAAAATGGTTAGTTAAGTCAAAACTCAAACATATCTAATTTGAGGGAACAGGAGCAATTCATGCTTCTGTGAGAATGTTTTAAGATGAAAGATTTTTGTTATGTCCATGTCACCATGTCTTTTTATCTTCACATGAAAACTAATATTCCAAACCACAAACGGCTACAGAGACAGTACTTTGAAATGGAATTTAGATTCTGCAGCATACTTGTGGGATCTCACAGTTAAAACCAAATTACAATTATGCAGTAACTTACATGGACACTTAACCACATTATATTCATAACTCCAACTGTGATATTCCTTTTTTCACATCCGATGAAGCTCTTGGCATACATAATTTTAACTTGAAAACAATGGTAGATTCATGTTTAGTACAATACTGTACCCTTGTACAATTCCTGGAGCTCAACATATCTGCTAGGAGGAGGAGGTGGGAGGGAAAGCCCTAAGGAGTTTAGAATAATGCCGGGCAGCACTTCTCTAAAGCCCAGCAGTGCAAATGAAGAAATAGAAAGTTAAAACTGCAGTTCTGAAATCTAGGGCACATGAAACCCTAAAATAAGAAAATGTCAGGAATCCTTCACATCCACAAATCTCAACAGGACAGAGGATACTATGAGTCCTACAGAAACTCTAGGCATTCTCTCATGTAAGCTGGGGAATTCTGCAAGGACCCCAGTTCACTAGGGACCACAGGTCTACATTAACAAGTTTTGCTGGCACTGCTGCATTGGTGGGGGACAATACAAAAAGGAGAGGGCAAAGTTAAAAGGTCTCAAACACCACTGGCAGTCTTCAGTGAAGATTGTTACATTGCCAAGCCATTCATTAGTAAAACTATATCAATCAGCCCAGTAGTGAGATGCAACAACACTCAGTAAGAGAATTCTTCTGCAGGTATGGATTTACCAACTCCTGAGTAGAAAAAATTATATGTTAGACAAAAGCCTTTTTGGTGATACTGTACTTTTAGTCTGATTTCTTGCCATTATCTCTGCCAGAGATTTCCCTCACTGTCATGGTAATCAACATCAAACAGGTTTTAGCCAGGAGGGATCTGAGACAGTTCAAGGAGTAAGGTTCCCTCTTAAAGATCCAAGTCAGAGCTGTTGGATCCCTTTTCCTCCATCTTGCATGGAAGTGGAAGTATTCACAGGTGCACAAGCAGAGGAATTAAAATCAAGAAAACTCAGTATTTGCTATGAGAGAAGCATTCAGTTTTCCTTCCTTAAACATGGAGTTGTCATCAATCCTATATGCAATAACAACAAAAAAGGGCTAATATTTACAGATCTCCCACCGGCAATTCAAACTTCTTCCACCAACTCAACCAAAGCAGAAGCAAGCCTTCCCAAAATACTTCTAAAGAAATCAGCATATTTTGGAGCCTCCAGTAGACAGTGAGGTCCCTTTTAAATAGGATGAATTTAAGAAACTGAAATACAGGAAAATTTGGAGAAAAAAACCTTAAAATAAAACCATAAAACTAACATAGAATCATAGAATGGTTTGGGTTGGAAGGGACCTTAAAGATCATCTAGTTCAAAGCCACCTGCCAGGACCAGGGACACCTTCCACTAGACCAGGTTGCTCAAAGCCTCATCCAGCCTGGCCTTCAACACTTCCAGGGAGGGGGCATCCACAGCTTTTCTGGGCAACCTGTTCCAGTGTCTCACCACCCTCACAGGAAATAATTCCTTCCTAATATCTAATCTAAACCTACCCTCTTTCAGCTTAAAGCCATTTCCCCTTGTTCTGTCATTAACTGCCCTGAACAATAGATTTTATTTTCTACTTTAGACTGCAGCAACAAAAAGAGGAAAACTAAGGTGATGTTGCCTGGAAACAGACTACAGGTAACATCCAGACATCTTGACCTTAAGACATGGTGAGGCCTGGCACTCACCTACTTTCTGCTCTGGTGGATAACAGGCAACACTTGGAGGCCATTGTGCAGTAGATTGGGGTGATAGGTGTGCAGAACAGATTTGTACCTTATATACAAAATATTCCTACAATAAATAATAGGTGTAAAAAGGCTTCCCACTTGACAAAAAAAATTAGAAAAAACAAAAATGAAAACCATTTTACAATATCCACTGAAATTTTTAAATCTTGTGTAAGTTCAAAATTATACAGACATCTGATATATCCTATCTTATATCCTATAAGAATATTCAAATTATCTACTTTGTATTAATAATTTCTTTTTATATATTTTAACACTTTCGCATCCATTTTCAGACACATCAACACATCATTTTCGGTAACAACTGGTTTTAATCTGCATGTAGCCCACTAAGTGAAACGATTCTTTGAATCATGCAAGAACTGCTCTATTTCTCTTTCCCAGAGAGTACAGAAAGAGTACAGCTCTGTTAGGAGGTTTTTTTCTTCTGCTACTGGATTCTTTTAATAACTCCTTATGCCAAGGAAAGGTTTTGCGATTAAAAGCATGAGGGCTTTTGGAGAGCGGATATTGACAGAATTACACAATTTACTGTAATGAAGAAACATGTCTACTAGATAAGTTAGAAGATTCTGTTACGAAAGAGGCTTTTTCATTATGAAGAATTAATATTTTCCATTTTCATACAAAAATTATGACAAAGTTAATACACACATCTTTAGGTATGACTATTACCTCTGAGTTAGCCTGCTCTGCTTGTAAGTGCTTGCACTCATCTTTTAGCTTTTCAGATTCTCTCTCACGTTCCAGAGTCATTTTGTCCATCAGTGTTTGAACTTGAACCAGCTCCTTTTTCAGGACAGCCACATCTTCCACACCAGGCCTTTGTAGCTGAAAAGTAGAAGAGTAACAATGAGTAACACGTTGTTGGCAGAAATGCTTCCACTGTCAATTTAATCTCTAAAAATCTTCCAAATTGTCTATTTATAGACAAGGTGACATATACAGTATTACAGCTGTTGAAAAAAAACAAAACTAAAAAAAAGATGCTACAAAAAAACAAACAAAAAAAATCCCCAAAAACCCCCAAAACTCAGAAAAGTATGTATAATTCCCAAAGAAATGGGATTTAATGGCTGGTTGTTGTCTTGCTTACTAAACTTCAAACTTGTTGATTGATTTCAACCAAATCTGACGAATGGGATAAGGTCTCAAAGATTACATTTCTGTAATTTTCATGTTGGTAGATGGTTAGATACAGGAGGAAGACCTTTCCTGGGATAAAACACTGAAGTGACAGGGAATCCACACAGAAAATTTATCTGAGCTCACAATTCCCTGAGAAGCAGGCTGTATTGACTCTACTACTCTACAGAAGGAATTACTGTATATACTCTACTGCTGCAATACTCACAAGCCCTTCTCAGGACTGAGACACATAACACTGCAGTACTACACAGACTTTTATAATGACACTGTCTCTGTCTTCAAGAACTATTTCAGAAAACCACAAGAACTATCAAAAAAGGGTAGCTTAAGGAAAAGTCTTGAAGGTACTGTCAGATATGCCTCATACAAGACCCATAGGTAAAATCTGTTGGTAATTACATCTAAAGCACCATATTGTCCCTCAAAGTGAAAAGCTATGGAGGGGAGGGGAAAGGCAATACCGGACACCAAAGAAAGTAGAGAAAAAGAGTGCTGGCATCTAGAAGATAAAAGGTACAGGGAAAAGGGTGCAGAGGGAAGGACAAGAAACAACTAACCAAATGAGAGGAATGGACAGGTCCAGTGGCTGGGCAGGGTCAAGCAGGACTCATGAGCCCTTCAGGGCAGCTAACTACAGGGAAGAACGGGAATAAACAAATCCTACTTTCCTCCAGAGTCTAAGCAGTGGTTGAATGGAGGAATGAAGACAAACAAGAAGCTAAGAAGTCACCTTCAGTACTGCTTTGGAAGCAGCATGACTACTGAGTCACTGGGATTGTTCCCTGCAGCCATGGCTGTATATAAAAGTCACCAGGAGCCAAAACCCTGGAAAATACACACATCTGTATTATCAGCCAAGTGCAAGAGGCACTACATTAACTCAGGCACGGTGATGATAGCTGCCAGCCTTTCAGCCACCATGTCACAAAACACCTCTCTGAGCACTTCTTACGAATGTGGCTGTCCAGAGACAGTCAGAGCATAACACCTCATGGAAAAAGGGTGATCTAAAGACAGCTGTGGAAGTCCGCAATGGCATGCTCTAAGTACAGGTCTGCACAGCACATCTAATTCCCTTCAAAACTGCTGAAGTGTAGTGCATCAAACAAGCACACTACAATATAATATAGGGTAAATTTGAATATATAAGTCATAAACAACACATATTTCCTCACTGGAAAAATGCTGAAAATGTAGGTCAGTGAAACAGATCAGAAACAGTAGTGTTCTGAACTTTTTCAGCCCACAAGCAGACGTCTCAAAGTTCAACAGAGTCTGACTGCTTTAAAATTGCATTTGCGCATATTCCTCCCTTGAACTGAAAATAACAAACACGTTAGTGTGATGTGAATACCAGCTCTGTCTTTAAGTCTTCCACTATACTTCTCTCCTTCTGCAGTTCTTGTGTCAGGTTTGTCACTTTCTGTTCTGCACCATCCCGAAGGCTGACTTCTTCATCATACTTTGATTTAAGATCTAGTAAGAAGGAAGTTGAATAAATGATCACTTGCACAAGTTGCACAGGCAGAGAACAGAACCAGACCTCACGTTAATATACTTACCCGCAATTTCAGTGGCCAGTTGTGCTGCTTTTTGCTCAAATAAGTCTTTCATTTGCTTAATGTTAAAATTTTCTACTTGGATCTCTTCTAGTTGCCGTTCTAATGATTCTATTTCCATAAGAAGAACAGTATTATTTTCTGGAAGAGCTAGGACAATATAGTTACTCATGCCCATAATGAACCACAGTAGGTAAATAAGTAATCTAAGATCACTTAACATCCAATTAGCTTAGCATAGTAAACAACTTTACTGAAGTCAAATATCTACAAGCACGATGCTGGAACCTGTCACTAGTTGAGTACTCTGCAGGATTACGTACATACTGGTTTCCACCAGTCACAAATAGACCTTCACATCACTGTGACATGCTGCTGAGCCCCGAACCACAAACTGCAATTCAAAGCTCTTCAGTCATGATCAGTCAGATACTTTATGCGCACATAAGGAAAATTTTATTCAATGAGTGCCCCATGGAGAAAAACATAGAGCAAAAATTATTGGTCTGCAAAACAAAAAAACAAAAAATTCATTGTTTTCTCTGCTAGCAATGAGTACAGAAAAACACTAAATAAAACCAGCACTGACAAATGCTATAGTTTAAGTATCAACAATCACTGTCTTTCTCAGCAAAAGACTTGTAGTGAATACTTGAATATAGGAAATTATTAAAAACACGTTCAAAACTACTCATGAGAAGTAGTCAGAGTCAGAACTCCTGTCTCACTTCTAGAAACTACAACACCCGAGCCTATAGAACATTTCCCCAGACTACAGCTATCACAAACTATCCATCTTAAGCATGTACAATGAACTTTTTTTTCAGTAATTGTACCATGCCAGTTTTCTAGCTCTTTAATTTACCAAAAGTGCTTTTTCATAAACCTAAAAGCTACACTGAAAAAAATTTCAGAAATTCCAGAACAGTGCAGAAATTAATATAATAAAATGTTAGCCACCTGTAGATGTAGCCATTGTCAATCCATCAGACTTAGAATCCTTAAGAAAACAGAATAAATGCATCATTAGACAGTAGGAAGAAAAAGTATTACTTCCAAAGTTCATCCCATTTTTGGAGAAGACAGGGATATTAAGACTTTTGTGCTCAAATACTGCACAGCAGTATAAAAATACCTGATTTCAAACAGTTATATTTGGAAGAACGGAAAAGGCTAAGAAGATTTTCCATTTCATGTATCACTACACTATCAGGCTTTCAGATTTGCAAGACTCCAGTAACAATCCCCTCCCCCTCCCTTTCCTCAACATTGAAAGCTGCCCTAAAAACACAGGTTACAGACATCATTAAACATGTTCTGAGAAGGCACTCCATCAGAAAGCAGTTTCTGAGGTTTTTAACAATCCAGTATCTAAGTAGCTCATAGCAGTAAAAGAAGTGAGAGCTTCCTTAGGGCACAACACACCATAATTTGCCTTGCCTTGTTTGTTCAGCTCATCTGGACATCTGTGAAATCACACCACTGCTCTCCAGAAGTTTTTACAAGAAAGACCCCGTCGCCCTTTCTCATAACAGATGAAACACCATATTTGATTCTTTAGAGTTCTGAATAAGCCCAATGGAAGGAAAAATCTGAACTGACCTTGTACTGAGTAGTATGGAAGAATCATTATCTATTCTGACTTTGTTCTTTAGATTTATATATATATTTACGTTGTGGAGAGATAACTAGCTTTCTTTTCAAGAACACATCAATATTCAAATTATGGAACTAACTAAATCAGGCCACGTGCCTTACAAAAAAGGTATTAATCTTCAATGTCAATGCTGATGATAAACCTGCTTCAAGTATTTTAAAGCAATTACTTGCTGCCGCTGCCCCTGCAATTTCTCTAGTTCTTTCTTCAGCTCTTCTGAATACCATCTCTCCTCCTAGGGGGTGGGGGGTGGGAAGAGATGGGGGAGAGAACTGTAAATTTGATTGCTTAAGACAGTGGAACACTTTGCAATTTGAAACAAAGAACCAAGTGCAAGTAAAATACATTTCCTACCTTCAGTGAAGCCTGCAAGTCTTGGACTTCTTGTCGGAGCAGTGATACTTCATCTCTGAATAAATACATCCACGGAGTGGAGAAAATGAATACGTAGTGGTTATATTTTGTCAATTACATACAGGTTATAATGTGTATTAAATAACTGCAATGATAGCCATGTACTACATAAATATAACTTAAGTAATTATAAATACATATTTCTAGATTTTTTGAAACTTGGAACAAACCGGATTAATAGATACTTACTAGTTCACTTTGCACATCACTTGAAAAATGCTAATCATATTAATTGGATAAGTAAAAAAAAAGATATGCAAAAAGTCTCATGAAAACAGAATGTAAATCTAAATCAGTGCATCAGCTCAACCACATCAGTTCAGAATGGCAAAGCTGTGCACTGGGACATTTTACTATTTTGCATGCCTTTTTATGAAAGGGACGAGTCTATTCTCCTTCACTTCCTATATCATGTAAAGGAATACTGCTAAGAGACAGCATGCTATCTTACTCCTCCTGAAATATGCAGTTACATAATTTTTCATCCACACAGCAATTTGGGATGCCCCACACTTAATAGTCTGAATGTTTAAAGCCTTGGGATTTAAAATTCTTAAGTTTTGTGCTCAAGCCTCCAGCCACGCAAGAAGACAAGATCCAAGGCTACAATTGTTACTAATTGACTCAGACAGCATCCTTCTAAATTGTGGGTCTCCTTACAGAATTGCACAACTATACATGTAAGGATAATGTTGCATTACTGAGATACAGCCACTCCAAATCTAGAATACACAGGTCATTAGAATAATGTAAACATAGCCTTTATTTTTGTTTGCACAGTAGCAACACTGAGGAGTACACAGAATATGCGTACAAATGCTTTCAGTTTTACACCATACAATTTTATTGCTGCTGTGCTGCATCATCCCCTTTCCCACAGATGTCCTTTAAAATTATCTTATACTTGGGAGAAAAACAACACCAAAGCAAGCTATTCTGGCTAAATTCTTAGCTATTCCCAGTTAAACTGGGAAGGAATAGATTCAAGCTATATCAGCATATTAACATCAGGTCAGGGTCATCAAGAAGCAAGTGAAACACACATGCATTTGAACCAGTGAAGCAAGAACTCCAAGGTGAATCAATTTTAATCACAAAACAAACATGGGATACTGGGAGGCTAATTTTTTTCAAAGGAAGATTTTCTGCTATTTACACATTATTCTGCCTGTGTGAGACATTCACTGGAGGTTCACAACTGCAACTTTATGGAGACAGGTGTAGCTGTAATCCAAAACCTATTCATTGGTTGTGGGTGGAGAAGAGGAAGCAGCTTTCTTACCACTATTAGTAAGTAAATCAGCTAATATTCACACCTGAGATTATAAATGAAAATATTATTTATATTACAAATGAAATCTCAGGCCGGTAAAACAGTTAACTATATTGAAGTTGGGCCTGAACATATACCAGATTTGCAATACTAAAGCACTTAAGATGCTCTGGTCTTTGTAGCAGATAAAAGGTTTTGAGCTGTACAAAAACAGTTTGAGGGGAAGGAGGAAAGGAGAAAAAGAGGGAGAGAGAGAGTCTGTAATGTAAGAACCCTTCTACAGTACTTGCTTCAATATTCCCAACACCATTTGGCTTGACAGATTTAAGATTAAATCTAAATTCAGTTTAACTGACCAGTAGAAAATTAATTGGGGGGAAAAAAGTGTAAGGGATCACTGTAGACAGTGTAACTTTGTTTTTCTTACTGCAATCTCACCAAATCTCCCTTTCTGCTAGTCCTGTTAGAAACCCTTCCTCCTTTCAGCACATCTGAGCCTCACTGGGGAGAGGTACATGATTTGCTCTTGGTACTTAATTATGGTAGTTTATTGGGAGGGTGGGGGGAAGAATTACAAATATAATGCATAGTACCTAGCTTTCTCTATTAACTAAATAGGGAATTTCACCTCCAACCTCGGTCCTATGAATTACATGCAAGCTTCACTACTAGACCACTTACAGAGCAGCTCCCTGCTGTAGGCTGTGGTATTTCCTTAATGCAGTATTTCAAGTTTTGGAAAAACATGTTTATGTTGAATGAGAATTTTCTCAAGCAAGCATGCAACTGAGAAACATTAAAGAATGCCACACTAATAGGAAGAAATAGCTCATGTGTTACACAACAGCTCTCACCAGACTCCCTTCACTCCATCCAAACTCCCTGACCTTGTCCACTTTTTCAATTACATGAGAGAAAACAAAACCACTACTCCTTAAACTGTCGGGACCCAGGAAAAAAACAAATAAATTTCACCAGCCAACATCTGGTTGACATTGGAAACTTGCAGGCATAAAAATAAATCTTTCATAAACTATATAAACAATATAGTTATGACCAATAATTCTCCCATGTGAAGGCTATTATTCTACTAAGAGTGTAATTTCAGGCCTAAATTATATCACTCTGAAAAGGCTTAAATCAGACAGAGAAGAAATACTCACTCTTGAATAAAGGTGCACATAGGACACCCAATATAACTCCACTAGTACCCTACCACTTTCTCCTATACAAAGCCCTATTTTTTATTTCTTTTGTTGCAGCAGCTGGGAGAGAAGGCAGCTATCCACAAGGAAGGGCTCGTCCATGCATGAAGACACGACTTCTGCTACTGCTGGCTGTTACTGGCTTGCCAGCTCTGCACAACACTGGGGAGATACACGTCTTCTTTCGGATAACAACTGAAATATGTTGCCTTCCACACTCAAAGAACCACACTCTCTTGAGTTAGTTACATAAATACATGTATTTCTTTCAATGTAATTATTTATAATTTGGGGTCACATTTCTACTAGTGACAAAACATTTGAACCATCTACTTCCCAGCACTGGCAGAAGCCAGCTCTGTTAGCAGGTGACCACCCACACACAGGGTTGTGTGGTGTGTACCTGTTTGCTGAATAGAGGCCACGGGCAGCTGCGCGCTCTGACACTGCTGAGTACAAACCAAGAGCGTTTGGGGGAGTGTGACAAAACAGCAGCATCTACTCTTATTTATAACAGTCCAAAATAAATACTGAACAGAAAAAGAACTAGCAGGAAGCAAAAGGAAACCTAGGTAAATTTTACCCCTAAGAAAAATCTCCCCAAAACCAACATGAGGGATTACTTCAACACAGACAGACTACTCAGTTAAACTTTTCTAGAGAAGGTTTAATATTATCAGTCCCTGCTATATACCACTGCTCCTGAAAATAAAACCTGATATGTTTCCTAGGAATATATTTAACAATACAGTTCTGACCAAACAGTAAATAAAATAAATTAGAGAAGGTTTCTGAAGATCAGCATGGAGTTTCTGGAACACTGAAGGAGAATCAGCGACACAGACAGAAACTTCTCAGATTTTACAAAAACTAGGTAATATGGGAACTTATTTAGGCAAGTATTGATGTTATAATTACCCAGTAAGTACTCTAACTACCCAGGGACAAAATCAGGTTTCTTCTCTATCTTCAGGGTTGTCCTCCCCCACACTCAAAAGATGAAATTTCAGTTCTATGTTGGAAATTAGGAGGAACCTGCATCTTTTCTGCCACACTCCTAAAAATCATTCCAGTGTGTAATATTGCATTGTCAGCTGCATGAGAAACAGGTGATTTACTTAACAATATAAACATGGGTATCTGATTTTCAATTATTGTCAGATCAGTATCAGGCAATTTAAGTTTCAAGCTGTTTTTTAATTGTAGTTGAAAATGGGGCATGAACATTTAAATACTTGACTACATAATTACATGTTCAAATTAATACAGCCTTCAGTGTAATTAGAAGCAGCTCAACATTGACACAAAAGCACATGCACAAGTGAGTACTGTTGCACCTTTCCGGTGACAGATGACCTTCCCCTCCATGAGTTGAATCAATGCCAGAATTATGAACTGCTTCATAGTGCTTGAACAGCTCTTCAGCTGATCCATGAGACTTCATACAGAGAGGACAAATAAAGCCCTATTACAAAAAGGAAAATGAAAAAAAAAAGAGGTGAGAAGTAAAATTTTTTTTTTCTATCTTATTTTTACACAGAATTCTAGATTTTGTTTGCACATCTAAAAGGTAGCAGATACAATTGTTAAGATCCATACTAATTATTTCATGCTCTGATAACAGTTTTGGCAATTAAAAAGTTAGAAAATGCCTACAAAAGTCATATTGCATTATTCAGTGGTTTTTTTTCCCCAGTGGCATTAGATACTAGCAACAAAACCCTTATGTAGAAAAATAAAGAGTCACTTCAGAAGGATTGCTCTGCAATTTCTTCCCCCCTCAAAGAAAAGAAC